GGTTTAACTGGCTTAATACGGCCCTAATAGCTATATTAGATGCGTCTCTTGTTAATATGAATGGCTTACTTAAATCGACGTGAGCTTATACAGGTGATTTACATAATATTCTCCCTATAACTCTTCAAAGCTTTTTTGCTGAGTATTTGACCACTCAAATTTCGTTCCTTTCCTTAACAAGAACGTTAAATTAAAAAAAAAAAGAAAAAAAATTATACAACAGTTTTCAGTTGTACATTACTATAATTAAAAGACGTAAAATTTTCATACTTATTACTAACTATTTACATACAATTTTCCATGCCTCTTCTATATCCTCGGTATAGGGTCTCCTTAAATGCTCGCTTTTTCCTCTGATATATATATAGTATGTGTACCGTTTTTAACTTACTTTCAAATTTTAAATGTCTGTACCGCCTTTGTATGACTGCTGAGACTAAACTTTCTTCTGTTTATCATATATTTGAATTTTGAAAACATGACTTCTTTTGTAATTAAGTTATGTTGCTCTATTTTCTGGATAAAATTTTAAGCGCCACTAATATCCTATTGACGTGTTGTCTTGGCATCCACATGGTATATTATTGTTTTTATAAATATTTGTATGTACAAATTGATAGTTAACTTTTGTTAAACTATTCCTAAATTTCATTTGGTTACAATTGTAGATCTCTTATCCTAAAGAAGATGTTAGTATGACAGCGAAATATTAGATATGTGTTAATGATAATATGAATGAATAGTCATGCTCCATAATCCAAGTTGTGGTTCTTAATATGCTTTACATTAGAATTTATTTAGTGATAGATATATTGCATTATTACGTAGATCTGTATTTGTTGCTGAGAATTTTATTATATTTTTCAATTCACTTTGTCAAACAAGCGTTTAGGAAAATAATCAAAGTGCTTCCAGAGACCAATTAAACTCAAAAATTAATGCTTCAATTGATAACAGTGTTATCAAAAATTCGTAGTTTTTATTATGTCACTGCATAAATAACTCAGTAGCTTACATTATTTTTTTGTTTTAGTGGAGTTTTTTTAATAAATTCACAAATTACTTAACATGCATTTAAAATAAAAAACGAGCACATGATGAGGTCACGTCTAATGTGCCTGTTTCAAGTCTGCAAACACTACAGAGAGGACGTGCATTTGAAATAATTACTTATCAAAGGTGTGACCACAAACGAATCTGTAATCACCTTACTTTTTTTAAATAACTTTCTTATAAAAAATTATTTAAAAACTTGTGTTAAAACTTAAAACGACTGAAATTCACGACCACATTTTAAAACGTGTAATATACTTACTGTAGTGACAATAGAACATTTTTCAACAATGAATCTCCGGTTTGACAGGTTTTATACAAACGATGTTTTCGTTCAAAATAGCACTTATATACGGATGTTTTAAGTTGTACATTTAGCTGCAAGTTCTTACAAGGACCCTAACATGTACAATGCCCAACAACTAGATGCACTGGGTGAGATTGTGTGAATCTTAAGAGGTCGTGAAACCAATAACATAACAACTGCTTTGAAAGCACTTTTACAAAATATTTATATAAATATAAGAAATAGATTAGAGTTCACTAATGCTCTCAAATTTTATTTTTATTTTAATGGGTTATCTTCGTATACTTAAGTTGTAAAAATTCAATAAAAAATTTTCGTTACAGGTAATACTTAATACGTAAGTATACATGAAAAAGAAGTGTAAAAAATGTCATGTCATGTTGCATTAGGAAAAAAATAAATAAATAAAAAAACAATTGTGTTGTTCCATGCGAAATTTGAACCCAGTACCGCAAAAGATAACACACTACAAAACCGCTAGGAACCTGAGCTACCAACGCATGGGACTTAAAGGGACTAAAATATACTAATTTTCATAGTATAGTTCGGAAGCTTAAGATTCAATTGAAGCCTTGTTGTATTATTACAGTTAAGCTATGTATTAATTGTTAATAATTATATTTATGTTGTGAGATTTATGATTGATTACATTCACAAAACTTATTTTGCTTTTAGGAAGAAAGTGCGAGAAGTAACACAGTGTAAATCAGAAAGGGCCTTTAAAAATGAAAAACTATTTGTCCCTATTCGATATGAGGCAAACGTCAGGACAGATGCGACTGTTAATAAGGTTGTGGATTAATAACAAATATAAGTTATTTAAAAAAAAAGACTTCAGCGCACTGGGTTGTATGGGTTAAGGCGTTAATATATTAGTTAATAATATCACTTATTTAAAAAAAAAAGATTCAAGCACACTGTGCTGTTGTGGTAAATGCGTTTTTTTATAATTCAATAATTTCATTTATCATAAGTGAAGAGTTTTTAATGAACTGGGTCATTGGGGTGAAAGCGCTCGCTTATTAATTATGAAAAGTAGTAATTGATTAGTGTTTATAACATTTTTTTTAAAAAAAGGAAGGAAAAATTTTAATAACCTGACAATTATTTTTTAGTTTCTGGTTAAATGATTAACTGCCTGTAGGAAGCTTATTTTACTTTCAAGAAGGAAAAACGAGAGAAGCGATACGTTTAGCTGCGGATAAATGGTATACAACTGTAGATATAGGTATATCACCAGCTGCATGCATATACGTATAGGTATAGCTTTTTCTTTCCACCACTGATTCACACATTTGGATTTCTCTATATCTACTATCACCAACACCTATACTAAGTCTTTAAAAAATTGAAGCATTAAAACGTAGTACACCACTACTAAATGCAACAACTTTTTTTTTTATATCTTCTGCTAGAAGATAGCTAATGCTATATATTTTATTTTATTATATTGCTTTTTATTGTCAACTGTAATTGCTTACTTACTTCTATAAGAAAATATACAGAGAATGACAAACTTATGTGCCTTATTCCATGTACCTCTCACTGGTTAAGCAGTTATGAGAATTGTTGAGGAGGCATAATACATGTATGTTAGCTTTTCTAGCAATTAAACTAATAAAATAACAATTTTTTCATGAATTGAACCTGGTACTTTGAATTCATAGATCTGTAACATTTTATGTCCTGTACTAATTTTTATTACGTTGTAACGGCTAGCTTTATTCTAAAATTATAAAACGTGATCATCAATTTTAAAACATTAAGGTATTTGCCACTACTATAGCATAGTCTAGGATTTATTACTTCTCAAAAGAGCTGTTAGTTGTTACAACCTGTGAACTATGTGTGAAATTTCTATATACTCTCATAAAACGTACTTCATACAATAATAATTTGCACTAATACACGCAAAAATCTAAGCAATCTGCAATTACAACATTTTTGACTGCGTGCTACATGCAGTGAATATTTTACACACTTATATATCAGCTTGTACAAAAAACGTGAAATTCGAGAGATCAGTGATTTTTACCACTAATCGTTGTATGTTCATAGCAGCACGATTGTTCTTGTATTAATCGAGAAGAAGTGCTATGAAGTAACTGTAAAGGTTGGAAAGTGAATTTATTGGCATCTTTAAAGCAAATATAAACATAATTCAGTGATTAAGCTGCGTATAAAACCGTACATTTTAAGGAAATGTAAAAGCCAATTCGGTCACAAATTTGTGTGACAAGAACCTGAGCAATCCAGGCCACTATAGACTTGCCTAATAAGTACAACAAAAAAAAACAAGAAAGAGAGAACCATCTATTTTAGTTTTGATCACCCATAAAAGAAATTGGAACTGCATATACGCAAGCATCAGCTAACCGGTGATTATAAAAATAAGTTGAGCAAAGAAAAATTAAACTTGTTAAAAATATTGTGAACATTTCAAAAAATTATAATTTGCATTCTTTTGAAGTTTGAAGTTCGCTTGTTTTATTGTATTTATTAAATCAAATAAAGCATAACGTTGTTTTTAATTTGATTTCTGCTCAAAATTCAAATATTTTCTAAATGAAAAAATCCAATCATAAAAAACATGTTTAGCTCTGATTAATAAAGAAAATACGGAACGAAAATAAACAGACTGATATACAACAAAGACCTTTACAAGAACATAAGATGTAAAACGAATGAGAATACATAACTAATGCTTTATAACAAACAGAATTTTATACAGTAGGTTGGACGCCAGTTTGATGTATGATACACTAATACCAATCCATACATATCACTGGGAGAAAATTAGCACCACGATGCTGAGTCAACTGATTTAAAAAAAGAGCATACTGTTAGTAAGAGCAAATAAGGCCTTTAGATCAACGGTTGGTTTTTGACGAATAAAAATTAAATTTATTTGTTTGTAGGAAACATCTACAAGTTTCGCCTATCACTTAGAAGTTTGAAAATAACAGTTCCTTTGAAGTCAAAAGAGAAGTTACTTTTTTAGACAGTCCCTTTTTTTTCAATCTTGGATCTAAATTAGCTCATGAATTAACAACAAATGTTCAATTGCATGAAAAGTGATGATTAATAGGATTTAATTTGTTATAGAAAAGTAAAAAAATTAACAGTATTTATTTTATTTTAGACGTTATTACTTTAGGATGTCGTTTTTTCCTCACTTTATAGATGTCAATTCTATATCCAAACTTTGATTAGTAGGTAACAGAATCATGATCAAATTGTCATTTTTAACTGGATTTCAAGATAAAAATTTCATTTTTTTAAAGGTATTTTATACTTGTGTTTCCTTCAAGACGTTTGTTCATACTATTTTTTTGTTGCGCACTTATGAATGACGTTTTAACCTTACTTAAGAAGGCCAAGGAACGTAAGAGTCCAAGATTACACATATACACATACATATATTTCTTATTATTAGTGTTCGTACGTCTAATTAGCTTAATATAAAATTGATGAATAAACTCTTGTAAATTTTGCGAGAAAACGAAGGTGTCATACTTATATTAAGTTCTTGCTTGCTTTTACCATACTATTTCATAATATTTCGTGTTAACATTGAAAATTTTTACTCTTTAATTTGATATTGTTTTAAGTAATAATAAAATATTACTTTTCTTTCTAGGTCGAAAAAAAACCATTGCCTAACTTAAGAGCCAGTAGTGGAGAATCATTTCAACGTAGCCCACGTCAACAACTTGAAGCATTACCTGAATTCGGACGAGAAAGAGCTCCACTTCTTTACCACCCTGATTCTTCTATAAAAAATTAAAAAATAAAAACAAAAATTGTAACCACCGTATGTAAATATGTGTAAATTAGAATACATACATTATATTATTTTTTTCATTCAAATATGGTGACAGATTAACCTTTAATATCGAAAATTTTGAGTTAAATTGCCCACTTACAAGCCGTGTCTTCTGGCTAGAACTGGTATTGAAACTTTTTTTTAACATTTACTTCTGGGCTGCTTTTTCGATGTGATCATTACAAAAAAAAATCAAATATATTTGATGCAAATGGTTTAAAATAAAAAAAGTAGCAGTATCGTGAATAAATTGCCAATTTTTTTTTTTTTTTTTTACTAAAAGCTGCAAGAATTTTAAACTTACAATACTAGAACAACGTTTTAGTGTCTAAACAAATGAAATAGTGAGATCCAAAAATCAGAATTATTATATATTTTTTGTCTGACACATTAAACATAATAACACATTGTAATTTTCCGATTATTATAAACCTAATTTCTATACATTACAACGATATCTTCCTAGGCTTAGATTTTCAATCCTAATGTTATTTGACAGTACGATTTTTTTTTCGGTATCAAATATTGACAAGTTACTAAGAAAATCTCATAAGTGCAAATACCAGTGCATTATCAAAATACCAGAAAGGCCTATGTACTCATTAAGAAAATCAGTTGGAAAACCATGCATCACACGTCTAAAGCCATCAGACAAGTAAACAGTAGCTAAAGTCACTTTGGTTAGAAATCTAGAACTAATAGCATCAGTGAATGAAGTTCTTTCGAAAAACCATTCTTTTTTACTGCTTATTCGTCTTCTGGCCTTAGACCTATAATACATACTTCTTCTTATTGGCATAAGTACATAGGCACTTATTACCACAAAAAAAAATATGTAAGAAGCTTTTCTAAGAAAGTAACTTATGAAAATTTTTAAGATAATAATCTTTTTTTTTTTTTTTTTGATAATCTAACACTTTAGTCCATTAATCAAGTTTAAAAATATTCATATGCAACTTTTGTAAATTAAGTTATTATTTCTGTAAAATTTGCAAATTTGATCAAGTTTACATCTTTTTATTAAACTTTAAATAAATACTGCAAATGTTTTTTTTTTTTTTTCATTTCATTTTTTTTCAATTGCTGCAACATTATGTTCTTTGTTTTTTTTCTTCAAAGATTATTCTTAACTCAAAATAGAAAAAAAAAATTTTTTTCAATCTCAATGATATTTTACTTTTTTACGAAAGCAGTTTTGTAAATATCTAATAATAAAGTTTTAAGATATTATGTGTTACAACTATGCCTTTAGAAAAAAGGTGGATGTTGTGAGCTTACATTCTTACAATTTCTTTCTCACGGTTTTCCCATGATAAACCTTATAACATTTTTTATGCATCTGCTGGAAATGAAGATGGTACCGTTGACGCTTATTGCTTTTGGACATATTCTTTTCCTTTCGTTTACTTCCGGACTTCACCCTAAAAAGGAAGCTTATAAGGAATCCCTCCCATCATATGTAGATAAGTAGTAACTCAACACTAGCAGACAAATTGCCGATTATGTATTTATTTAATCATTAAACACCTAATAAACTGTATCCCTCTACGTTACACACCATACTGTATACTTTACACGTCACTTACAGGATGCTGCAGTAACTTCATCTCGCACCATGTAAGCTACGAGAGCATGCCCACTGCGTCCATGTCTCCTGAAGTAGGAGGATATTCTGCTCTATCGCATGCTTGTTCTTTTCTCCCACTTGAAGATATGCCTTAAAACTCGTGCCATACACAAAATCCTTACGGTTTTTTACTTTATTGGCTCTCTCTCTTTCTCTCTTTGCCATACGGTCAATTCGACCATGGCATAATAAACTTGTTTTCACTCACTCACTCTCTTTGTCTACTCTACTCTACTTACTCTGTCTTCCTTTACAAACTCTCTATCTTTGTCTTCTCTACTTGCTCTTCCTTTTTATACTCTCTCTCTCTTTCTCTCTCCTTTTTTTTCTCTGTTTCTCTCTCTCTCTCTCTTTTTCTGTCTCACGTTCACGTTCTCGGAAAATAGCCAACTTGGTACATGTTTGTAGCAATTCAATCTCTTTCTTTCTCTCCTTTTTTTAAATATATTCAGTTGTGTCTTTACATTGCAAGGTCTCAGGAATCTTTTTCCACAGTCTCAAGGTACTCAGATTAAAAGGTCATATGTATGTAACTGTGCGTGAAAATGGAATGAAAAAATCTGCCGTAATTTACCTAGTAGTCCTCCGGAAAGAAATTCTCTTTGATACTGCAGTCATGTTAAGATAAGCAACAGATGCATCATGCATCCCTGGAAGTAACTCCTTCTAGTATCAATTGTCATCTAACAAAGTTACCTGTAAAAGGAATTCATTTCCACATCGCTATCCACTTCAAAAACAAATCTTACGACCGCATGAGAGAGTTGATACAACTTGAGTTGAAGATATTTCGAGAGATTTAAGTAAGTCACTGATGCATAATTCAATTGAGGAAGCACAAAGGTAGTTATTAAGATCTTTTTTATAGTCCACGATCGTGAACCCGCCCTAAAACAAAGCCTATTCAGCGTCCCATGGATAGCAGAACAAACCCGAGTAACCTGGGCGTTCCATGTAAGATCATCTGTAAAAACAATGCGAAAATTTTTAATGGATACAACAATATCACTAACATTATCACTACATTATCACTAACAACGGTGGATAGCACGAGAGGGTGATTCATTTTTCTAAGTAACTGTGCCATTGCAAAAAGTTGTGCCGTAATCTTGAAAATAAAAAATCACAACCCACGAGCCTCAGCCCAGTTAACAACAGTGCCAATACCTGCATTGGAACTTTTAATAGTACATGGAATATCCACAGGCAAGCAAGCACTACTATACTTCAAGCATGAGATAATAGAGTTGTTGAAAGCGGAAAATAGTACAGAACCAGTTGAGGATTCCTGAGGAACTTCAGAAATAACACGATAAAGCACATTTAAGCTCTTATTACTTACTACTGACTATGACTGTCTGATCATAAAAGGCTGCATGAAACGAATCGACTGAGCTCAATTAAAATTATTTAAGTGCCTGTAAGAGTTTATGATAGTCTAATGTATAAAAGGTCTTTTTGAAATTAAAGTAGACTATAAAAGTAACCGTATCCTTACCTAAGCTGCAGTAGATATCATTGGACACCAACAGGGCTATATCGATACTACAGCCCCATCGAAAACTTGATTGAAAAAGTGACAGAAAAAAGGTATTTTTAAATAACTGTCAATGTGACCGTCCATCAGATTGTCCATGACCCGAAGGATTTTTTAATCTTATGTTTTCCAGTAGAGACAAATTTCTCATTCCACTACAGAATTTCTTCAAAAATATGGAAAAAATAGTTTCGTTCAAATCAGAAGTTGGCATCATTTATTTATTTAACAGTTTATATACAAATGCCAGTTTTTCAATTAGTTTTTTGCTTATATGTCCTCTTCTATTGCTCTTAAAAGCATTTGACGACTGTCAATCTTTTTGTCATACAATTTTTTATAAAATAGCACTTTTTCAAATCGATTTCTTATTGTAATAATACATAATTGGTAAGAAAATGTGAAAAAAATTTTTTTATACCGTAAAACCTTTAATCAGCGTAGACAAAAACTATCATGTTAAGTTAAATATAACCGTAAGAAAATAGAGATAATAAATAGGAAAACAAGAAGCTATTTGTCAAATTGCAAAATAATTATTAGTTTTATGTGAATTAATTTTTTAAAGTGAAACTTTGAAGTGTTGTTACAAACTTCATGGTCTGTTTATCGATATTTTGCTTTGGTAACAACATGTATTTGATGTTAATAATGATAACCAACAAAAAAATTAATGTTTGTAAATTTTGATGTTTTCTCATGTAATATTTTATGTTGCAACTTAAAAAATTGCAAATATCTCAGTCAGTGTCGCATACTTCTTTTTTAATGAACGGCGTTGTATTAGTCATAAAAAAGACGAATTTTAAAAGGAATAGAATGCTTTAGCTTACTCTGAAGCCGAGATGTGAGAAATTAACGTTTTTTGAAACAATGGACTAACAATTAAGTTTTTTATTATGCAAAAATTTGTGTACTATCTTTGTGTATATTTGCATTACACTACCAAGGCACTTTATCAATTTTATTGAAAGAGAAATGTAAAAAAATTCGAGATAGTTGCATTGTAACAGCTAGTGGCAGCTCTATGCTTCTATCTGTATCCCTCTTTTGCGGCTAGATGGCCGACCGATTGCAGTGTAGATCAGGAAAAACATGAGCTATGGTTAGCGTTTGAATTAAGATAAGTTGTTGTATACAATTGTATACAAACAAATATAGCAAAATAATATAGTTGCACAACATACCAAGTTAACAAATCCAATACAAAACGTGAGTGTAATGAAAAAGATAGGAATTTTATTTTTAGTGTAAGTTAAATTTTAGATTATTTTGATGCATTAAGATTTTGCTTTAAGGGTGATTCACGTTCGCAATATCATAAGTTTGACTATCTGTTGCACCACCTATCATATTATGTATACAAGCTCTTGAGTTACATTGGTATCGGTATCAGGTACTATCCGGTATTTTGGATGAATTTGTCGTATATACAGTCTTCTTCCTCGGTCGTAACTTAAACGTACTCAATATTAAAGCAGTTTTTTCTTAGCAGTATTAACACATTTCTGTGCAAAATACACCATTTTGAAGAAAATGTACGAATAAAAATTCTTCAAGTCTATTTTAAAGTACCCATTGCACTAGAAAAAAAAGAATCTTAAATTTCAATGTATCAATTTTTTTCCTGCAATACAATAAAAATATACTTGGTCAAGAACAACACTATTCAACGATTAAATGCTTAAAACTGGCATAACAAATTCGTTTAATACAATAGACTTTGTTTGTTACTACACAATCATGTGCAACAACTTATTTTAATTCAAACTTCAGCCGCAGTCCGTGTTTGGCCCCATACGCCCTGCAACCGGTTAGCCACCTGGTTGCAAAAGAGGGGAACAGATGAGTGCACAGAGCTACGGCCAGCTATTACAGTGCGACTTTCTTGTATTTTTTTTTCTTTCTTTTCAATAAAATTAATAAATTACTTTGGCAGTGAGATGCAAACCTATATAAAGATGATACACACACTTTTTCTGCATGATAAACTAAATTGTTGGTCTATTATTTCAAAGAAAACATAAATTTTTTATAAGTCGACTTATAAGTAAGCTAGAAGATTCTTTTTCTTCAAAAATTTGTCTTTTTATGACAATTACAATGCCGTTTGTTACAAAAAAAGTATGCAGAATTAAAGAAGTCTTTCAGTTGCAAAATAAAATATTTCATG